CAAGGAACCGAGGCCGGGGACCTCACAATTCAACCCGGGGCACGGTTCCACTAGCAAAGGAGTAAGGTAAACCGTGTCCCACAAACACCTTTGGGACATCTGCGGGACATCGTCCGACCACTGATGCAGGAGAATCGGACGGCAGCAAAATTGCGAGGGATTTATATTCTGAAGTGGTGTTTTTTTTTTTTTTTTTTKTGCTTTTTCTTTCCAATTCCCAAGATAGAGGCAGCTCTTCAAAAGATTAAAAAAAATCAAGTACTCGAAGGGCATAATTTTGACCCCCTTCTTTTTCCGGGTCAATTGTTAACCCCATCCAGTACTTAGATTCTCTCAAAATATACGAAATGCACGCTTCAGCATGGCAACCGTCAGAGGAGGGAGTCCCATCAGGCACACGAAGGGACTCCCTCGAGGAGGTGGTATGCCAGACTGCAACAGTCACGTACCACTCTGTCCTGATTAGGTATTGGCTGGGTGGGGAGCAGAGGGTGGAGACGGGAGGGTTAGTGGGACGGCTGCACTTTCAAAAGTCCGACTTCTTCCCATCTTGGGAAATGTACCGTCGCCATTTTTCTTTTTTTTAAGTCTTTAAAATTACTTTTCTTCCTTTTCTTACAGTGCCGCACAGGTCCAAATAGGCCATGACTCGTGTGCTAGTGGAACCGTGCCCCCGGAGTTATCCTGGCAGCATCAGCCAGTTTAGCTTACGGCCCCGGCCGAACCGGAGGCCAATTCCAAACAGATTAATCCATGAAAACATATCTAGACCTTCTGATGTCTATTCCCTGTAGTGCTCCCTACAATCCTTACAACTACCTTCCCCTCGGCTCATTCTCAAAAGAGAACAGACTGAAACAGCGGGAAACAATCTTATATTGCAAAACAAATTAGGGCGAGGCCGGGGACCTCAACAATTCCACCCGGAGTTATCCTGGCAGCCTCAGCCAGTTTAGCTTATGAGCAAAAGCTCGAGTCCCATCAATTATCCCCCTGCCCGAATCAAGAAAAGCTGGAAACCAGGTCCAGCGTCCCTACCTGGCCTAAATCATACGAAGATACTTCAAACCACTAGTACCTGTCTCACTGTTGGGAAATTAGGGAAACTGGCAGTTTTCCCATTTTCCCCACAGACTTCGGACGTCAGGTAGGTTCGGCAAATGCCAAAGTTTCCTGGAAAAAAAAAATAAAAAAAAATGGGGAAAGGCGGGTGTCGGTCCATTTGCAGTCCAACGGAGGCAGGCCGGAAGTGGAAACGGTACCGGCAGCAGCATGGCGGGCCACCGTCGGACCAGCGGTCGTCCGTGGCTGGTTTTCGGAGGCAGTGACCGCGCGGACGGGCGACCGGTACCCGTGCAAATCCGACGTGCAGCCTGAAGCAAACTTCCGCCCGCTGCGACGACGGTGAGCGCCGTCGCCATCGCCCTTAGGTCTCTCTCTCTCTCTCTCTCTCTCTCTCTCTCTCTCTCTCTCTCTCTCTCTCTCTCTCTCC